TATATATAACAAACGCAGTTCAGTGTTCCGTGTGTTAATACCTCCAACTTTTTAAGCGACTGCCTTCTGCCTCTTTTTTTTGCATTCTTTTGCTGAACTTCTGTGCGTCTCATTTGCATTTCTTTGGAAGAGACAATTGCATAAAGTTCGGGTGTATGTACAGCTCAGCAGCTCCCAACTAATGCTGCTAAGCAGGGGGGCAGCGGAGGAGGCTGCCTCCTCCTTGGGGTCCTCCACGCGATGGAGAGAGCATATATCGTGGTAGCTAGCTAGCTAGCTAGCTAGCTATTCAGCTAGCTACGCACCACCTCGCCAGCTGGCTACCCTCAGAATGGCTAGCTGCTGACGAGCGCAGCAGCACCTGAGGCCAGATGGTTATCAGTTAGGCTTCTAGGGAGCCGTTGAACTCAAGACCCAGTCAGCTAAGCAGCTAGCTAGCTAGCTAGCTAGATAGCTATCCATCCAACCAGCAAGGCAGCTAGCTAGCGAGCCGCCCGACTGGCTAGCTAGCTAGCTATTCAGCTGCACGTAGAGTCGGTGAGGTGAGGCGGCGGCTTTAAAGGAGAGCCTGTCTGCTAGCAAACCCTAAACCCTAAACCCTAAAGAGAGGACTTGTCTTCTAAAGAGGGGTGGCCAAGGGCTTCAGTTAACTCGGAGAGCTGCTGCTCCAGAGCGGCACACTCTGCCGTCTTTGTTGCTGTTAGAGAGCGCAGCTGTAGCAGCAGCAATTCCTTCTGCTGCAGGGCCTGCTGCTGCTGCTGCTGCAGCGCCTCCATAGCCGCCGCCGCTTGCTGCTGCTGTTGCCGTTCTTCTTGCTCCAGAAGCTGCTGTTGCTGCTGCACCAGACGCTGCAGCTGCTGCTGCTGCTGCTGGTACTGCTGCTTTGTCTCCCGCACTCCCTCAAGGTGCTGCCTCTCTGCCTCCACGAGTTGCTGCTGCTCAGCTTGCTGTTGCTGCTGCAGCTGCTGCAGATCATCTTGCACCAATTGCATGCGCTTCTCAAGCGTCTTTCGATTCTGCAGGGTAAAAACCCCACAAGATAAAAGAAGCAACAAAATAACTTCACTTGGGGATATGGCACTAAACCCTAAACCCTAAACCCTAAACCCTAACCCTGGGACGACGCAAACAACCTCCGGCAGCACCTGGATGTGCATGTGGAGGGATTTCTGAGGGTTTAACTTCAACGGGTAAGGCGGTTGGGGGCTTAGGATTGAGGGTTTAGGGTTTAATAAACCCCCAGAGCTAACAACTCAGGATAGCTTACCGCCAGGAGGTCCTTTATAGCTTTCTTCGTCTTCTCTATTTCTCTTATGCCTCGTTGCCGTTGCTGGTGCGTCTGCAGCGCAAGCAGCAGCAGCAGCAGCAGCTGACCCCACAATGCAGCAACAGCTAGGTAGCTAGCTGGCTAGTTGGCTGGTGCAAGATAGAGGCAGCAGCAGCTGTATATACACCCCACGACGCACCTCCTCCTTCGCCGTGACCTCCTGCTGCATTATCTTCTGCATTCCTTTCTTCAGTTCCTGCCAATCAAGCCCCAGCTGCAGCAGCAGAAGAAGCAGCAGCAGCAGCAGAGTGTATGTGCAGCTCAGCAGCAGCAGCAGCAGCAGCCGGGCCTGATTCGTTGCAAGCAAGCCCCAAAGCCTAAAGGAGTATGAAGCTGCATGCATGTGTTGCGGCCTCTGTATGGAAGGCAGGGGTTTTATAATGAGAAGACAAACATAAAAAAAGACAGAGAAAAACAAACAACAAAAAACATCATAGCCTAAAGAGGCTTCATTTCTATCGCGCATTTCCCCCCAAAGGAAGCCCTGGCTGTGGGGTGTATGTGCAGGTTTGCGTGCAGCAGAATGATAATAAGCAGCAACAGCAGCAGCAGCAGCAGCAGGCAAACGCCACATGCACATAAGCTGCTGCAGCAGGTTGGCAGCAACAACAGAAGGGAAGAAAACGATAAACCGCCCGGCCCCCTCTTCAGCAGCAACGAGAAAGCAAACAAACAAATAAGCAAATAAACAAACAAACAAAAAACAGACAGAAAAACAAATAAATAAATGAATAAATAAACAAACAGACAAATAAATAAATAAATAAAGAAGCAAACAAAGAAACCCACAATTTCGTTCGTTGCCCTCTTTATGTCGCAAGCAGCAGCAGCAGCAGGAGCAGCAGCAACAGCAGTCTCCATCTTAGGCAGTGCACTCCAATCCTCAGCTGTTGGAAGCTTCGCAGAGACAGCCAACTGAGACATGCTGCTGAGACACTCGTTCACCTGCAGCAGCAGCAGCAGCAGCAGCAGATGATGATCTGCTGCCGAAACGAAGCAGCTGACGTCACAAAAAACATTTCCAGCAGCAGCAGCAGCAACAGCAGCAACAACAGCAGCAGCAGTAAAGACACACCGACTGGCCAGCGATCCGCAGCTTCTCCGAGTCGTCTGCAACCTGCAGCAGCAGCAAAACAGGCAGCAGCAGCAGCAGCAACTGCAGCACATGGAAGCTAGGATTGTTCGTAAGAGCAGCAGCACACACCATCTTACCTTATCAATTAGTACTTGCAGCCCCTCACTCAGCGACTCAACCTCCTGAATTGAAATAGCAGCAACAGTAGCAGCAGCAGCAACAACAAAGAATAAGTAGCAGCATTAGAAGGGATATCTGCATGCATTAGACAAAAGACATTGCTTAGGGAGAACACCAGTTGGGTTATTATTTGAATAGAACGAAGAAAATGCAAAAACAAAGATCTCTAACAAGCGCATACACCCCACGCAAACTGCAGGTGCCTATACACCCCAACGCCTTGTGTTTGTGCAATACGCAATTCCCCGCATGCAGCATATAAACACTAACAGCATTTCATTTAAACATAAACCTCCTCTCCATGACGGCAAGAGAAGAACAATCAAGCTATAGCATGTAAACCCTAAACCCTAAACCCTAAACCCTAAACCCACACAACAAAAGGTTCAGCAATAGAAACAAATGAAATAAACGCGGGTAGATATATGCAAAGCAACAAATAAAGCGGCGCACAAACGACGAAATAGAACACCCAAAAGAGCAACAAAAATATAAAAAGGAATAAAATAACAACAAATAAAATATAATTAAATACAGTAAAACAAATGCATAAAATAAATATAATAAATAAAGTAATTCAATCATATAAAATCTAATTCTACCCTTGAACGATGAGACAGCCCTTCGCGTAGACGCGAGACATCGTGACGAATTCTTTCCACCTCCGCCTTGTCGATCTGCAGCAACCCAAACCCTAGAGCCTAAACCCTAAACCCTAAACCCTAAACCCTAACCGCTGTGAGTGCTAAGCACCGGTTTAGGCTGACACCGCGTAACAAGCTGTCTATGGTGTTTCTTTTGGGGGGGGAGTTGCGGTGTATGCACAGCTCAGAGCCTCACCCCTTGAGCTTTTATACGTTCCCCTAACTGCTGCACTTCTTCCGTTGCTGCCTTCTGCTGCAGCAGCAGAGAATCGCGCTCTGCTTCTGTTGCTGCAGCAAGGCTCTCCTGCAGCAGCAACAGCAAATCCCAGCAGCACCACAAACACTCGTGCCTAACCCTAAACCCTAAACCCTAAACCCTGCACCCTTCACCCCTAGGCTTTGCTATCTGTACACTGCTCCAAGCCCCAAGCCCTAAACCCTAAACCCTAAACCCTCAGTGCTTAGACAGACACACAGACATGAACCCGGCAAAGCCTCTGTGTCAGTCCAGCGCTATTTAGGGTTTAGGGTTTAGGGTTTATCCTTGCCTGCTGAGAGATCTCCGCTCGGGTGTCTGCAATGCGGCAACGCAGAGATGTTATCTCCTTCTTTAGCTGCTCTATAGAGTCCTGCAGACGCAACAATGTGTGCAGAAACCCTGCCGCTGCTGCTGATGCTGCTGTAGCGCTTGCTGCTGCTGCGCATGTTCTTCGTGATTCTGCTGAAGTTGCTGCTGCCGCTGCTGCTTCATCAAGTGTGCATGCGTACCATAAGCGAGGCGTTATCGCGGAGCTCTGCTTCTACTGCAGCGAGCTGCTGCTGCCGCTGCTGCAGCTGTTGCTGCAGTTGCTGCTGCGTTGCTTCGGCTTCCCTGTTCATCCCATGCAGCTGGCCCACTGCAGCAAGAGGAGCCAAGAAAACAGCAACAGCAGCAGCAGCAACACCAGCCATATTATGTGGAATGTGTGTTGGCCGGTATCGCTGTGAGGTGTCTGTACAGCTGACGAAACGCTGCAGCTGTGGATACACCCCAGCAGCAGCAACAACAGCAACAGCAGCAGCAGAAAACGCATGCAGAAGCTGCTGCATAACGTACATACAGCAGCCCTCAAGGCTTGAGGGTCCTTTCCCAGTTGTGGATAGGCAGCAGCGAACATTCTTCCTACGACATCCCCCCTAGCAGCCTGCACGCAAACCCTAAACCCTAAACCCTAAACCCTACACGAGATGCTAAACCCTAATCCCTAAATCCCAGACGCTAAACCCTAGCCCCTAGACCGTAAACCGTAAACCCTAATGCCTAGGCCTTACAGCCTAACCCCTAGGCCGTAAGCCAACACCCGTAAGCCCTAAACCCTAGATCCGAGATGGTAAACCCTAAACCCTAAACCCTAAACCCTAAAAACTAGGTGGGCACCTGCATATCTGCTGCTTCTTCTTCTTGAAAGAAGAATTCATTTTCATAAATAAGCAGTTCGCATAACCAACTCAATGCCGCCAAATGATGCGGCCATTGATGCCCCGTCCCTGGGGCTAGCATAGCACTCTTGCTTATAGGGAAAGGGTAGCTGAGGAGACAGCAGCAGCAGAGACAGACACGCAAACTCTTACACACTCTTACCCTATACATATACATAACTCTACAGCAGCAGCAGCAGAAACAGCAGCAACAATATGAGGCGGAGCAGGAGCAGCAACAGCAGCAAAAACTGTAGTAAAAGCAAGTGCAGAAGAAGCAGCAACAGCAGAAGCAGCAGCAACAAAACGAGGTGGAGGAAGAGCAGCAGCAGCAGCAGAAACAGCAGCAGCAAAAGGAGGTAGAGGAGGGGCAGCAGCAGCAGCAGCAAAGGAGACACATGCAGGAAAAGGGGGGGACAGCAGCAAATCAACAGCCAACAACGAGCAGCAAAACACAGAGAGACAAACGGAAGAACATAAAGGAGACACAGCAGCAGCGAAAAAAGAGGATATAAGAGAAGATAACAGTAATAATATTAATATTAATAATATTATTATTATTAAATACTTCAAACACAAACGGAGACGCAAACAACTTTAAAGAGAAAAAGAGACAAACACAAAGGTGAGCAAATAAACAAAGAGATGCATAGAAAGAAGCACAGAGCAAAACTTTAGAGTTGTTTCCCTCTTCGTCTTCTCAGGCTACTAAACCCCAAACCCTAAACCCTAAACCCTAAACCCTTAACCCTAGGGTTTCTTCTATACCCGATTTCTTTGAAAAGCTTGGGGACTTCATCATTAACATTTTCTGCTGTTATTTTCACGGAGTCATCAAAGCAGCGCCTGAGGAGACAAAAAAAGAGAGACAGTTGCATGCATGCAGATGTCTCCTTTCTGCATTTGTCTGCCTAACGGTTGGTGCAAACCCTAAACCCTAATCAGTAGGGTTGCTGATGCAGGGGGAGATGTCCCGAGGGTTTAGGGTTTAGGGTTTAGGGACCTGAAGAGATGACCCCAAATATCTATTAGCAGAGATCGTTGAGGGCTACTCAGCGCCTTCGCGGATAGAGGCCCAGGAAACTCGGAAAAAGACAGAAACCTGAAGACAAACCCTAAACCCTAAACCCTAAACCCTAACGAGAACCTGGCGATTTGCTAGCGCCTGGACCTGAAACCCCAAATGCAGAGCTGATTCGTCAATAAAATTAAAGCAAAGGCGTAGGGTTTGAACAAAGCAAAACGTCTTTAAGCAGCCACAGGAACAAGCGAGGGTTTAGGGTTGAGGTTTGCCTGGTGATGGTTCTGAGAGCATCGCGTTTAAAGCTGTCTTGCGACTGCAGAGATTTCAGCTTCGTTGCTTCTGCACTCCTTTTCCCTCTTCTGTATGTGCTATGTAAGCTTTTGTCCGCTGCAAACCCGCACAAACCCTAAACCCTAAACCCTAAACCCCAAACCCTAAACCCTAGGCCCTGGACAAGCACACTTACTCGTGTTCACAGTCTTGTAAAAGGAAAAATCGCTCATCTCCCGTGGCTGCTGACTCTCCAGATTATGTGCTGAAGCAGCGGCTGCAAGACAGGCCAGAAACCCTAAACCCTAAACCCTAAACCCTAACGAGAACCCGTTGATGCTGCATCGACCGCTCCGCCAGCCTGTAAAAAGAAGACTCACGGGTGTTGCCCAAACGAAAAGGTGAGGTGGGCCCGCCTATCAACGGCTCCATCTTGAGAGGGTTTAGGGTTTAGGGTTTGCAGGTCCAGTCGACAATTTCCATATAAAAATATGCGCGAGGATGTTAAGCTGCATGCAGATAATTCCTGTGGTCTTCTGGGTGGGAATGAGCTAATCCCTAACCTTAAACCCTAAACCCTAAACCCTAGATCGCGAGACGAGAAATGCCACATGGGCCTTTGTCAATACACCCCAAACCCTTGGGACTAGTGTATATACGTACAGCTGAGGCAGGTTCAGCAACACAGTTCAGCTGCCTCACCAGCTGAGCCCCGAAGCGTTTGCCATTACGTGTACACCTGAGACAGGGTTTTATTCTATTGTTCAGGTGTATTTGCAGCAAAGGCTCGGACAGCTGCAGAAAAACAAAGGGGGGAGCAGACAGACCCAGGAGCCCCTCAGCCGAAGCGGTGGGTGGTTAATTCATGAGAATAAAGAAAATATGACAAAAGGTTCAAGCATCTTCTCCTTGAGTTCCAGAAAAAGCTGCAGTTGAGGTGTATGTACACCGCGGCCGAAAGCGTGGAAACCTTCCCTCTTACATCCCTTATGTTGATATCAGAGATGAAATAAACGTCAATATAAATTTAAATTCTACTTCCAATTGCATTTTCTGCAGCTGTATGCTGAAAAACTCTTCAGAAAGTGCAGGTTTCGATGGGGGCCCCCCCAAGCCCTGTTCCAACCCTTACAGGTTGTTGATTGAGTTTCCTGTTTTTGAGGTGTACATACACCTAGAATTATGGAAAGCCCGTTCACATTTAGGGCAGTTTTGTCTGTTTTTTTGGCTTTTTATGGGAATGATCGCATACACGCCAGTAGTTTATATGTTCCTTTACTAGGCACGAGCAACCCCACCACAGTACCACCCACGAGTTTCATCACTTTCTTCTCTTCTTGCATCTTCTTGCAATCTTCCTCAAGCTCTAGAGAGAAAGCAACTACAAATGCTTTAAAGGGCGCTCCCCCGAACCTTAGCCGGCGCTGCGGGCTTTGTGCTGCCTGCGACTGCGAGGGATACAGGTTTAGGGTTTGTTGGGGGTCTAGGGCTTATACAGGTCCTCCTTTTCAAGATGACGCGTGAGCGAGCAAACCCTCAGCCCATGGACGTTCCTTGCAGCGGAGGTTATATAGGTCTGAAGCACTGTTTAGTGTTTAGGTGTTGGGGTTTAGGGGTTAGGGCTTAGGGGTTAGGGTTTAGGGTTTGGTTGTGCATTGTCTCTGCAGCCCCTGCCCTCAAAATCATGAGCAACTGCGTCGTCTTAGACGGCAAAGAGCTGGAGATGGAGTCTGTCCCAATCTACAAACCCTAAACCCTAAACCCTAAACTCCAAATACATCTTTTTTCGCTTTTGCCGCCTGGTTGCCTAATAAGACCATCTACATCACCCACCGGCAAGCAGAAAAATGTTTAGATGTAAAACATACAGGCCTTGGGCTTAGGGTTTAGGGTTTAGGGTTTGAGGTTTGTGAGTCCAGGAAGTGGGCGATGCCCCATGAAGATGCTGCGGCCCGTCTTCAGCGACCCGAGCTGAAGATCATATCGCTACAGAAGGCGTGCAGCTGCGTATGTCTGAGCCCTAAACCCTAAACCCTAAACCCTAAATGCTAGAGTGGAACCTTTATTTCTAGCGTTTAGTGGGCTCGCTTTGTCCTATGGATGAGAAAGATGCAGACAGAGCTATTCTTGTGTTTATTGTTGGGGTGTACGTACACCAGACGACCCAGGCCTCCTTCGAGGCAGCTAAGGGAGCAGCAGCGCATGCAGCAGTTGTAGGGGTTGTTTCTTCTCTCTCGGATCCCCGCGGAGTCGCCAGTAAACCCTCATAGACAGCCTTAGTCGCAGCTCCCCACTGCCAGGCGATTGAACCCCCAGGCTAGGCTTTAGGGTTTAGGGTTTGAGGTTTAAGGCTAGTCTGCAATGTTTTGGGTGTACGTGTGAGCGCGTTTGCAGGCGAAATGAAGTGGTGGTGGGTCCTGTGGGACACCAAGTCAGTTTCTCATCCTTTTGCTGCTGCTGCTGTTGTTGTTGTTGCTGCTGCTGCTGCCGGTAGCTCCGAATACAGGGGCTCACTTTGAGGGTTTAGGGTTTAGGTTTGTGATATCGCTGCCGTTTGTGCAGGGAAACAAATCTGCTTTTGACCTTCCGGGGGGAAGGACTGTGGAGCAGCCTGAGGTGCGTTGAGGGTTTAGGGTTAAGGGTTTAGGTGTGGGTGTGTGCTGCTGTTTGGGGTTTGTGTGTCTTGTTTGGGGTTTAGGGTATAGCTCACGACCGCCGCTCCGCATTCTTTGAAGCGAAGGTTTAGTGTTTAGAGTAGAAGAAGTGTTTGGGGTTTGTGCAGAAAGAAAGGTATCAAAAGAGGGGACCTCATTGCAATACTAAACCCTTCGCTTCTTCCTAAGAACGATGGCGCGGACTCGCGAGCAGCGGCCGTTGAGGATGAAGACCAAATCTTACAAGTCAAGCCCTAAACGCTAAACCCTAAACCCTAAACCCTCGCTAGGGCGAGGTCCCTTTACAGTTCGCGTCCGGCTGGGTTACACGGGTTGTACGCCGTGTTCGAAGGACAGCTAAAAGTGTTTTGACTATGTTAATTGGGAGCTTAGTGAGTGTCTAGGATTCAGGGTTTAGGGTTTAGGGGTTAGGGTTTGGGAGTGCGGGTGCTGCAGCTTGGAACTGTCAAGGGGATAGCGCGATGCAGCGCCATGACTCGAAGGCAGGCGCAGTGCCGCCAAATGGTCCACCTGTGAGGACACACCTGCTGTTGCTGCTGTTTTTTGCTGCTGATGCTGCTGCTGTTGCTGCTGCTGCTGCTTTTGTTGCTGCGATTACGACCATTTGCTGCTGCTACTGATCAGGCCTTTACTGCTTCGGTCGCTGCCGCGACCTCTGCCGCTGGTGCTATCCCTGCTGTCGCTGCTGTGACCTTTGCTGCTGCTGCTGCTGGTGCTGCTCATTCTGCAGCCCGAGCATGGGGGAGTACTGCCGATTCCACGTGAATGCGAAGGAGCAGCAGAAGCCAAAGGGGCCGCATGCAGCCTCTGTCGCAGACTCAATTCAAGAGCTTCTTGACAGTTCGGATAAGGAAAGACGCATGGCGATCCTAAACGCCCTGGCCCCTTCTTCTGCTGCTGCTGCTGTTGCTTCCGAGGCCGCTACTGCTGCTGCTGCGGCACCGCAGCGAGACAGCAATCTGCAGCAGCACCAGCAAAAGGAAAATAAACCAGTGCAGCAGCTGCATGCAAAGGAGCAAATGATGAGCAGTACGTGCTGCCCCCTGCTACCCCCGATAGCCATTTTGGCGCGTGATCCTCTTGTATCATCAACTGTTGCTGCTGCTTCTGCTTCTGCTGCTGCAGAATTGCTTCAGCGAAGTATACTGCTGCAGCAAACCTCCAGCAGACCTTCACCGCCTCTGAACGACAACCTGAAAAGCAGCACCCAGGCCACCACCACAAGCCCAGCAGGTAGCAGCGCAGGAAGCAGCGCCAACAGCAGCAGCGGCAGCAGCAGCAAAAGCAACAGCAACAGCAACAGCAACCGCAAAAGCAACAGCAGCAGCAACAACAGCAGCAGGCAGTCTCCAAACACCAGCAGCTCACCCGCCACTTGCAGCAGCGCAGCAGATAGGGACCAGCAGGCGGCGGAGGCATTTGTGCGCAAGCTGCGAGAGATTGTGGAGCTCCCGGCTGTACGTACACCTGAGTGTTGCTGTTTGCCTCTAGCCCCGCTGCTTGTGCGAATGCTTGTGCTGCTGGCGGTGCTGCTGCCATTTGTCCTGCTGCTGTTGCTGCTGCTCTCCGTGTAGCTCCTGAACAGCTACTTTTCTCGGGGTGTCTCTTCAGAGCAGCAACAGAGACATGGCTCTGGCTATTCAACTGTCTCTGACCAAGCGCATGCGCTTTGACTCCAACCCGCGTTTGGCGCAACAGGCGAAGGATCTCCACACTCAACTGTTCCTACACCCCAACGCCGTGAGGCCTTGCTCTTGCTGCTGCTGCCGCTGCTGCTGCTGTGTTGCTCCTGCTGTCCCTGATGAACAGGCACTTCTTCGATGGGGACATTTAACAGTCTCGCGCTATTGTTGCTGCTGCTGCTGCCCCTGATGCTGCGTTGTCTGCAGGAGATAGCACTGCTGGCCTTCAAGAACTACCGCTATCTCCACCACGTCGCTACAGTTACAACAAAGAGCGCCCAAAAACCGCTGCAGCAGCAACAACAGCACCAACAACGGGCTGCGGCAGTGACGGGACAGCCCGCAGCCAGTGCAGCAGCAACAGCAGCAGCAGCAGCGCCAAAAGTGCGCGGCAGCAACGCTGCAACAGATAAGGCAGCTGCACCAGCAACAGCAGCAGCAGCAGTAGCTGCTGCGGCTGCTGTTGCAGGTGGAGCTGCTGCTGAGCAGCGCCAGCAGCCCCCTACCCCCTCTTTGGACTCCGCAGCAGATGTGAGGCGGGCGTTGCGAGAACTGAAGAAACCAAAGCTTGTTGCTACAACCGTTAGTGCTCTTAAGCACACTCAAAAGGCTGGAGTGGCATTGCAGCTCTCAGTGGAGAGGCAGCAGAAGCGGCTTGCGAAGGAACAGCAGCAGAACGAAAGAGCAGCGAAAACACAACGTACCGCTGCGCCGACGCCCCCTGGCGCTGCTGGTGCTGCCAGATCTGCAGCAACTGATGCAGAGAAAAGAGAGATTCTGGAAAAAATGCTTCAACTCAAATCCTCCGTAGCAGATATTGTCGATGAGGTATGTAGTTATTTCTGATGGAGCTGCTGCTGCAGCAACGGGTGCTGTAAGTGCTGCTGAGGCTTATCTTGCTTTATATCCTGCTGTTATTGTAATGCTGCTGTTTACGGCCTGTACTGGCCAGTGAATACGTAGGGCTTAAAGGCAAGTGTATGTGATGAGCACTGAAAGATCGTCTAGGGTTTAGGGCTTAGGGTTTGCGGGGTGTTCTCAGGAAGACGGCCAGCGCCATTTGGAGCGTCTTCGTTCCCTGGAGGCCTCCGACATTAAACATGAATTTAAGCAGTCCATTAAGGAGACAACAGTTAATGCTTTCTTTTGCCTCCAGGTAGCGTTTCTTTCGCATGTTTGCCCCCTCGGGCCTCGCACCTGTAGCGGAGTTGGGTTTAGGGTTTAGGGTTTAGGGTTTGTGCCGCTGCGGCTCAGTGCGAGAGGTACACCGACCGGCTTAATGCTGCCTGCGTCGCTCGCAACCACCAACAGCAGCCGCGAAAGGCTACTAAACGTTTCGTTCAGTGTGGGGGCTGCGGCCACAAGCCCATTCCAACACTCAACAACCAGCTCCCCGATGGGTGCCCTAAGTAGGTAGCTCCCTGCTCTGGTCTGGCTAGGGTCTGCGTTTAAGGGCTAGGGTTTAGGGTTTAGGGTTTGGGGTTTGGGTTGAGGGGTCACCTCCCTGAAGCTCAACAAAGATGTAGGGTTTAGCTCTCAAGAACGAACTGCCAACGCGGTATCAGCGGCATAACGCAGCGGAGTCTGCGTAGGGAGGATGACGAAGTGGGGTGTACGTGCACCAGGTGGCCGCCGATGTGCGTGCGATGATGCGCAGGTGTCGAGTGGCGTCACAGCATCTGAGTTTCCGTGTAATTTCGCTGTACGCGCCGAAGGCAGAGAAGCTCCTCGACCAGGAAAAGCTTTCTATCGAGTGGGTGGAGCAGCAATCGGCACCCCAGCCTTGTGGTGTTAGGGCTGCTTGCGTTTTAGATTCGCATTTCCTGCTGCTTGCGTGTGTTTGCACTGCAGCGGTACCGATGTTATATCCTCCAAGAAGCAGCAGCAGCAGCAGCAGCGGCGCACGGAAGACGGCTCAGGAGACGAAGGCTTCTTTGAACACCCCGACCTTCCGGATACTTAAGCGATGCAGCATGATGAACCCTAAGTTTAACAGCAAGCTGAAAGGACAGCCAGAGCCTCTTCCGAGAGGTTTAGGGCCTAGGGTTTACGGCTAAACATTAATTACTACTGGCTGGGGAGCAACCCTAGAGGGTTCGCCGTAGCCGCAAACAAAACCCACTCTGTGTTCGGGTTCCTGGCCACAAGACACATTGCGTTTTTGTGTGGTTCAGCGCACTAGCGCCTGCAGGTACCGTATTGAGAATGCACTACTGAACTGTACTGACACCTAGCTCCTCTAACTCCTTGCTGCCACGTGCGTTGGTTTCTAGTGCATTTTGAAAGGGCAGGAGGGCTTCTGGCTTGCGGTTTTACCTAGGAAGTCGCCCATACATGAAATTCGTATGTAGGGAACTACCGGGCTAGCTGCCTACACCGCAGCTAGCTGCTCACACACTGGAAAGCCACTGTCGCAATTCAGGTCCTTGACTTTAGCTCAAACTCGAGAGAGCGATAAGCGCTACTGCTGTCGCTGTCAGTATGGAAACAGCAATCCTTCATACAAGCGCAGCGAATGCTGTCGCGGTCCTAACCTTTAAGAGGTCTGGAGTTTAATTTTGTTTTTGTCTGTGGCTTGAGAACCACCAAGTCGAACAAATTTTGGTAGTACGGGTGGCCACGAGCTGCTTTGCAAGCCCATTCATTGTGAAGGAGTATTGTAGTTGCGCATCTGCTCAGCCCAGCCAAATATGCTTAGCATCGGGGGGAATGCCATCAGCAGGAAAGTCGCTAGCTTCTCAGAAAAGGAAGGACACCCTCATGCACCAAGTGTCACTTCGCGCGCTCGAAAGAGGGCGAAGCAGGCAATTGTTACGTCGCACACGCGTTCTCAGACGCAGTAAACATTCCTTGGTTTTCCTCTTTCTTTTCCTTTTGCCTGCTCGCGAAGACTTCCCCTTCCCTGCCACAAGAGTCATTACCCTATCATCGCCTTCGCGAAACAGCTTTCCTCTTCTTTCGAACTCCCTCAAGTGAACCTTCTTCAAAATTGCAAACCTCCCTATACTGCAAGCCAACAGCTATTGCAGCGTTTTTCCGTCACTCGTTTCAGCCAAACGTGTGAACCTGCTTCGCCTAGCAAGAGAAACGCGTAATGGGTCCCCCCACTATAGAAATCAAGTATCATATCTATTTCATTGTAGATATTTCTTCGGTTTCCGTTTGCCTCTTCGATTCGGCCGTCGTTCTAAAGGGCTGTTTGTACTGACAAAGCACAAATCCAACGGAGGACTTTGCACTTTTCTTTGATTTAGTCAGGCGCCGTGGAAGACTGTTCAGAATCATCCAAGTCAGTGGCTCGATGCACACCGCCTTCGCTCGTGCTAGTTCAAGTCGGCATACGACTATTCCTTGGTAGTATCGTTTCCCGACACTCACACAGCGGCTGCGGCTGCAAGCGTGGGTGCGCACAACGCACCGCCAAGTAGGCCGCAGTACAACCTTGTGCAGACAACTGTTCGGTCACGCGCGTAGGGGCGCCCATATCTTATCTCTATATTCTTTGGCACTAACGGTTTCCCGAGGTGGTCTACAACTAACCCGCTGCGTATGGGTATCTCGACTCCCCCGCCAATAACACTTTCAAGTTTGATTATTTGGGCTGGGCACCTCTTGGTGCCGGCCGGATCCCTGCCCTACGTGTATTGAAGCTTTGCGGAATCCAGCATTGAAGGCAGCTTCCAACTCAGGCAAAGAGAAAAGGGTCCCCAAATGACCGGTGAAAGGCCCGGGGCACCCCAGTCATTTGGTCGTCAGTCGCAGTAGCGTATAGAAGCAGCATCCGCAGGTGCCCCTAGCCGCTTTTCTTCAGCAACTTCTCCGTTCTTTTTCCTTGCTGAGTACTCTGGTACTGTTGCACTCTTCCTTCCTCCCCTTGCACCACCTATCCATGGTTGGGTAGCCTGGCTCATGACGGAATGAGTTGCATGGAGCCAAGGTATAGCCTCACGTGGTGCATGCACGCATCTTCATGAGCGCATGGTGGGTACCGCGGACAGAGAAAGTGTCTACGAACTGCAGTAAAAAATCATGCGTCAAGAGGATGCGCATATGCTTGCCTGAGGGGTTGCCTTTTAGCAGGAGATACAGCAAAAGCATGCTCCATCCTGGCAGTCCGCCAAACCTCCGCACCAGCACCAGGCCTTCGCGTCTGGAGACTCAGAGGATTGCCAGGTGCTTTGGAGTAATTTTAATCTGAAGTATTTTGACTCCTTCGCAGCTCACCACCGTCCCCGGCTATTGTCGACAACTGTCGTTCCAGCTAGAGGTCAATGCAACGCGAGCGGATCCCACTCTGGCCTTGGCGAGTTACCCTCCTCCAGGTACACTAAACAACATATGAAGGACCTGAATTGTTTCCTCTGGTTGAGTTGGAGCGTGCGCAGCAGTGTTCTACCTGGCTTAATCCTCGCCTCGCCTTTCGTCTCGAAACGCGCAGAACCTTCGCGACCTTACAATACGCAAACGTCTTTGTGGAAAATCTAGATCGTTAATTCACATTGACCGACAATACATTTATTTCAAGTAAGACACATAGGCGCCAGTGAGATGCTGCTAACGTGAAATGGCTGCAGGACCAATTCATCGAGTTCACACAGGCGTGCCGTGCAGCGATGCTCACAGGGAAGGAGACTGAAGTTGAGGTACCAGCTCTTAGCACGTTGGAGTGCTTTTGTTAAAATATGAACTTTATAGAATACTACGTTTGCAAGATTTGCATAGTGAACGTGCCGCGGTTGATTCTCTGTGCTATATTCAGGCCTTCAGACGGTTAGGCTGGCTATGTCTGGTTCGGGACTTGAGCGGGTGCGGAGGGATCGTGGAGGAGCATTCGTTGCATTCGACCCCTTCAAACACTGAAATAAACCATTCAAAATATGCCTACACACTCTTTGAGAAATATACTTTTTGGTTGAAGGAGTGCCTCTTGTTCGGTGATGCGCGCTCGAGCCTCCTGCGTTTAAGGAAGGGTACACACAGTTGCGGCTTTGCATCGGAAACAATGCTGTTGCTGGTTTCCATACTTTTGCCACTTCTTGTTTTTATTTCTGATGGTGTTCTTGCTGCTAGAAGAGCTGAGCCTTCCGGTACTGAGGCGGTCGCACACCATGAAGCCGTCCTCTCCAAGCAAACATATTGGGATTCCACCCTACCAGGGATTGTGTCCCAAGATGGAAACTTGTCCTTGGAAGCACAAGCTCTAGCTGCGCAGTCTGGTTTCTCTGCGAAACAAGAAGAGGCTCGCCTGCCCACGATAGACCTTCGACCTCGCAAGGCCCATCGATTCTTCAAGCATTTCTTTTCTGCAGGAGCCTTTTTGGCTTTCCTTTTCCTGGTTCACAGTCTCAAATCCCAATGGAATGTATGTTCCACCTCTTCCAGTTGGATGCGGTGCAGTGTTGGAGGCAAGAGTATGACCGTTGTGATGTTTACCAGTCCAGGGAGGGAACAACATCTGAAAAATTCCCATCTTTCTCGGAAGTGTCATTAGCAACGTGCACTTCCTCTTTACGAATCAGAACTGTAGGCGGAAAATATAATTGCAGGCGTTTCGTGCAGAACTGTTGACTCGCTGGAGTGCATGCGGTGCACGTACACATAATTCTTCCGTGTATTTGCTTTTATCTAGCGTCCCCGCCTAATTAATACACGATTTCCTGAGTGTATTCATACGAACGCTTTGGATATTTCGCGACTGCCTTGACGGGGTTATCCCTTAATGGGTGTCCTAGCTTGCTGCATCTGCATTTTCGCTGGATTGTACCTTTCTTTCGAAAACTGGTGCGCACACTGTACTGCTGGCACAATTGGCAGGTTCTGAAGGGAACGGACCCAATCATTTTTTAATCTTCCTCTCGGTAAACATTAAAGACCGCCGCAAACGGACAGCCGTTGGATTGATGAGGCGTTGAGTATTTTTCGAGTCAGTTGCACTAAATGCGTTTTACTAGTGGATGCCAGTAACAGGCGTGCCCCTGCAGACCGTGCGTTCACCGCCTGAGTGTGAATTAGCAGATGCTCATTTACTATTCTGTGGTGATCCAAACACTCTGCTGTGGAATTATGCAGACAAGGATTGTCATCATGCTAGAGTTGCACGAGGATGACTGCAGAGCCTATGCAAGGGACCCATAACAGCGTTCTGCAGATCTTCAGAGCAGCCGTTGAGCTGTGTGTACATTTGTGCCCCAGGAAAAGGAGGTGAGTCGTAGAGATTCTCTAGTATAGGAAACATCTGGGTTGCTAGTGTCCATGCTAGAGCAGTAGGCAATCCCACCTACAAAACGGCTGCATGCCTGAATCGGCAGTGGGGGTGTGAGCGTGAGTTGCATGACAGAGCCTCCGGGCAATAATGACGCGCATGACACGTCCTACTAGAGGTCCGCTGTATGCGCAGTGTTGTGCGAGTATGTTTCTGAGTTTCGTTGGCTGCCGACCCTGTAGCGACGGGGTCGAGCTTTGTTCTTTGTAGGTGCACCCAGAGGACGGCGATGTTCTGTTATTTCATGTCTCAGCTCGTGCGTCCCATGCGCATTCCCGCTCTGGCGTTGGCAGGGAGGGCTAAGTGGCGAATGAGCAATGGATATACGTTTGTTCTGTTTTTAATGCACGGCAGCGCACTGGTGAAGCTTACACCCTTGTACAACACGCGGCATTCAGCCCCAGAAATTCGGTGCTGCCGTGAAGGATGCCGACGTTCTGCGTGGATATATATGAGCTTATACTTTATATGGGGCACCACTCATATGTGTTCCGTGCACGTTAAGCCATTGACAGGGAGGGGGAGACACTTAGTTTGCTGTAGCCAGTGCACTTTGTTCGAGACGGCATAGCTTTTCCATGACAATATCGATGGTGTGGGAATGTTCACAGGCTAGAGCACCGCATTTGTTTTTCGGCGCGCTTCGCTCTGCGGAAATGATCTCCTGGTTGGGTTTGTTGAAGCGCATTCATAGGTTTGGT